CGCCATCGCTGCCCCTTGCCAGCTATGCCTCGGCCGGCGCAGGGGGCGGCACCACGCATGCGCAGCACTCCCGGGCAGGGAAAGTCCTCGACTTACGACCGGTTGGGTAGTCCTTGACTTACGACCGGTTGAGTAGTCCTCGACTTACGACTGGTTGGGGGTCGCGGCATTAAAAAGGTTGAGAACCACTGCATTAGAGGATCTAGGATTGATAACTGCAATGCCCCATTCAAAAGAATTATCCAATGAGAAATTGGATATAATTTTCAAGCCATCCAACCCATAGACTGCTAATTAGCTTGCCACATAGGTACCATGCCAAATATGTAGTTGAAATCAGGCATTGGCTCCAGCTTTCATACAATGAACTACAAATTTTACCTCATTAAAAAGAGATAAAATCATTCCACCAAGGTGTCAAATGGATCTAAAGTTTCCTTTATATTTTTTCCTTTTTTTGAAGATAGAGGGGAATATTTGCTTTTCAATCATCTGGAACAGTTTTCAGGATTTCATATACCTTGAGTTGCAGCTGCAGTTGGGACTAGAATTGCTGTCACTAAGTGATAAGGTTATAAAACATGATGTCATGTGATCATAGGAATGGCAGTCCAGGCAGCCCTGGTTGTTGTTGTAATTCCAAACATGCAAATTCGAAAGTGAAAGGATCCCAGGTAAAGAGTGTGGAGATGCCACAAGAAAGGTGGGGGAGGCCCTAGAAGGCCCAGCGCAGATCACATATGAGTTGGGGAGGAGGTGCTGCACTGTGGTGGAAGCTCAGAAAGGCCAGGAAAAGAAAATGAAATGTGGGTGAATGCAGGGAAAGAGGCTATGGGGTGCGTGCAATGCAGGGAAAGAGTGTGGAGTGTGGGAGCATAGGGAAGCTGAAGAAAGATAATGTGGAATGCATGTCTGTGTGCAAGTGAGCAATGGGAAGTTGGGGAAAGAGATGTGGGATATGTGAAAGTGCAGGGCAACCAAGGAAAGAGGCCATGTAGTGCATACCTGTATGTGAGCATAGGGAGGCCAGAGAAAGGGTGCAGTTGTGCATATGTAGCAGAGAGACTGAGGAAAGAGGGCATATAGTGTATGTGAATGTGAAAGCAAGGAGGCTGGGAAAAGAGTCTTGTGGTGTCATGGTTCCAGCTAATGAAACACTTCAAAGAACTTCCAGGCATTGATTTTCCTAAAAGTCTTATGTTACAAAATGTCGGCACGGCATAACGAAGGGATGTTAAGATCTAAAATCCCCACCCACCGAGCAGTTATTTTGCTAGCATTTCCACTCCCTATTTTGATGTCATGATTTACGTTCTCCAATTAGTGTGAAGGGCAAAGGTTCCCTTCCTTTCTCTTTTGCGGGCTTTTCCCTCCTCCCTCCTCCTCTGCATTAACTCTAAAAATACCATACAATTCTGCATATTTTGTCAAAGCAAGAATATACAATATTAGCAGCGTTGACATCCGGCCCCCCTTACAAGAAGGACAGATCCTGTAATGTAAACAAAAACATATGTTAATGACTAGTTTTCGGATGGTTGGGGTGTTTCACATGAAACCTTTTGCCCAATCTATCAGCTTTCACTTCACTGGATTTCACCCAGGTGGCTTCAGACAATGGGTATCCCCTCCATTGCACTAGGTACTGCAATTTCCCTTTAAAGATTCTAGAGTCAAGAATACGTTTCACTTCATAGTGGGTCTGTCCCACAACTATGAGAGGCCCAGGTGCCTTCTTCAGGGGAGGTCTTAAAGTGGAGCCCCGGTAAGGTTTCAATAAGCTGCAATGGAAGACTGGGTGAATTATCCCTAAAAGTCTAGGGAGTTTTAGTTCTATGGCGACTGGATTGATGATCCTTACTATGGAGAAAAGCCCCAAGAATTTTGGTCCCAATTTCTTGCTGGGCAATTTGAGGCGTAGATATTTAGTTGACAAATAAACCTTTTCCCCAACTTGGAATGTTCTTTGGCGAGCCATCGGCTTGCTCAAACCTCACCGGTTTGGAAAGCTGTTTTGCCCATATGCCCATTTTCATGGCAAATGGCAGACTAATAATGCAGCGGGTACATCCAGAATCAATTAGCACATTTAAGTCCATTTGTGCCCCAGACTTAGGGATTATAAATTTGGTGGCCAGTGAAAAAAGTGGGATTTGTCGACTCACCATCAGGTCGTTCTCTCCTTCATCGTTGCTGTCAAAGGAGGGTAGAGCAGGGGCGGGTTCACTCAGAGCCTCGGCGTTCTCCTGCGCGTGGAATATAATCTGGGCAACAGCTTCCTGCGTGAGCCGGTTGGATTTTTCTCTCGTTATCCGTTGAGCAGGTTTCTTTCTCATTGCTGGTTCCGGTCTGCTCTGCAGTCAGGGGTAGGGGACTGGACAAGTTGTTCCTTTTTTTTTGTAAAAATTTTTATTTTCTATTTTACAATACATAACAATCTTACAAATACTTCAGATAAAAAATAAAACAAATTGATATACACCACATTCGGTCTTGCCCGCCCATTTCCCCCCAAACCGCATCCCACCTCAGACCAACTTACTTCTTTCCCTCTTTTTCTTCACTCACCCCCTCTCCTCCTTCACCTCCACCTTCCTACTTACTTCTTACCTTCTTCTTCTCCCTCTTAATGCGGTCCAGGGGAAATGCCCGAGCAGTTCCTCTCTCAAAATTAAAACATTAATATTATATACACTAAGACTATTTCTACTTTATCGGAACTACTTAAACTTCAACCCATCCACCCCCACCCCCCCTCCCCCCGACTTCCCAGAGCAAAATACAGGATTATGCAAACATATTAAACATAATCTATTTAAGTTTACTAATTATACAATGAACAAAATCATAAAAACCCTTAACTCTCTTCAAACTTTAACATCATAAGTTTATAAACAAAATCATTACTCATAGAATAAGTGAAACTTTGTAGTTCCATATTTTTTCTGAACATATTCTATCCATCTTCTCCATACGTTAAAATATCTCTCTTGTGAATGGTCCTTTAAATAAGCAAAAATTTTAGCCATTTCTGCTAAATTAGAAACCTTAAATACCCATTCTTCTAAAGAAGGCAGAGTATCCTTCTGCTCGATGTCCCTCTTTTCCACACCAAAAACATTAATTGATGGGCCTGTAGGTGGCCTGGGTCTCTCAGCCACTGCAGTAGTTGAAGGCTTTTGTGAGGGTGATTGCTGTCTGGGTAGCTCTGGTTGCTGCTCGGTTTAGTGTGGGAGAGGCTTCTTATAGCGGGCGAACCGAATGTCTAACTTCACTGCTGCCTGGTACCATTCGTGCAGCTGATCAGGTATGGCTCGATAGATGCATGCCTGAGAGAGGTGATCATCTAATCCCTCAATGAAGTGTTGGATGAGGGCTTGCTCAGGCCACCCTCTATTCGACCTGTTGTCTTGCGGAACTCTCGCACGTACTCCAGGGCAGGCCTGCCGGCTTGTTTTATTTTGTGGATCTGTTCTGCTGCTTTGAGGCCAATGGATGGGTCCTCAAATCTTTCTCTCAGTCCCAGAAGAAAAAGGTGGGGATCTTCCAGTTCGGGGGCTTGCTCACTATGTAAATTATTCAGCCATTCAGATGCTTCTCCCTCTAGGTTGGACGCAATAACATCGACCATGGCACCTGGGTCCGGATAGAGATAGGCCCAGCGATTCAAGGGAGAACACACTTGGTTCAGAAAAAAAATCAGCTTTTCTGGGTCCCCATTGAAGGTTGCTCTGAAAGGTGGTGCAAATACAGGCTGTTGTGGCCCCCACTGGGGCTGTTGCTGCTAGCCCCACCCTGGTTGCTGGTTCCACAGCTGCTGGACTCCCCTCTGCGCTTGTGGCCCTCCCAGTTGCTGTTGGCCCCATCCTGCCTGCTGATCCACCGGCTGCTGAGCTCTCTGCTGCTGGCCAGCGGGGGCTGGTGGTGCCCCCTGCTGCTGTAGGCCTCTCAATGGCTGCTGGACAAGTGGGGGTTGTTGCTGGGCCTCCCTCATCTGCGGGCCCACCAGCTGTCGCTCTCCTGGCTTTTGCACCATCCCAAGCTGCTGCAAGTCCTCTATTAGCTGTGGTATGCTCAGTTGCTGCTGATCATCTATCTGTGGGGGTTGCTCAATTCCCTATTGCTGTAGAGGGCCCAGGCTGGGGTTCTCTCTGTGGGGCTGAAGGCCCTGGCAGAGGACCCCAGGGTTTGGAAGGCTGTTTGATCTGTGAGGGAGGGGCTACTCTCAACAGAAGCTGCTCTCTGCTTCTCACTTCTGGGTTTTGAAATCTTCCCAGTGACTCACCCGAATCTTCAATTGCAGGTGACCTGGCAGCTCTCCACCGATTTGTATTTGTCTGCCAAAATCTATCTTCCCACAACATGCTGTCTGTTGCTTCCCACTCTGGGTTATCAGCAGCTGCTAGGTCTTCAATCAAACTCTCTTTTCTCATGATAGATTTTCTTCCCCTGAATCTTTACCAGCTCCTCTCAAGCTTAGATGGAATTCAGGACCCCAGGTCATTTGAAAAGGATTGAGATCTTAGCATGATGTCATGCTAAGGAAACACTTCCGGCTAAGGAAACACTTCAAAGAACTTCCAGGCATTGATTTTCCTAAAAGTCTTTTATTATGTTACAAAATGTCGGCACGGCATAACGAAGGGATGCTAAGATCTAAAATCCCCACCCACCGCGCAGTTATTTTGCTAGCATTTCCACTCCCTATTTTGATGTCATGATTTACATTCTCCAATTAGTGTGAAGGGCAAAGGTTCCCTTCCTTTCTCTTTCGCAGGCTTTTCCCTCCTCCCTCCTTCTCCTCTGCATTAACTCTAAAAATACCATACAGTTTTGCATATTTTGTCAAAGCAAGAATATACAGTATTAGCAGCATTGACCTGTGAAGTATGTGTGAATGCAGGGAGGCCAAAGAACGAGGGCATGGGGTGCTTGTTTGTATTCTGGCACTGGGAGTTACATTTATTCTAGTAGTTTAATGTGCATTTCTTTTATGTAGCTTTCCAGTGATGAAGCTGTTCAGAAAGTACTTGCTGAAGAAAAAGCTATTAAAGAAAAGACACAATATTCATCTAAATCTCAAAACAGAGAATCTAAAACAGAAGAATGTAGATATCATAAAGAGGTAATAGGGTTCTATATGTTGAATAAAAAACCCAGGGAAATTGTTTTATTTCTTTATTTACTTGATTTCTGTGCTGATTCAGTCATAAATGAAGCTAAGTGATAACTGATTAAACTCAGCTTAAAACAAAATACATAAGAAATATAAAGGTAGTCGTTGAGTTACAACAATAGTCGAGCCCAGAATTACAATTTTAAGTTTAGCAGTCATTGAGCAAAGCACTGATGTGATCATCTTGTTGAACGACAACAATCCCTGCTCTCCTGGTTGTCATTAAGCAGAGCCTGAGAATCCTTGGGATGAAGGAGGCCCTGGGAGGCCTCCCTAGCTCACATATGGCCTGCCTTGAGCCTCCCAGGGCCACCTCCATCCTGTGAGGCACCCCATGCTCTGTTTCCTGCTCTATTGGATCCCACAATCTGGCTTCTTCTCCCCCCACATCACATCTCAGTCCACTTACCTTTTCCAAAGATTGCCTTTGAGAAAGAAGAAGCCAATGCACTATTTGGAAATTCTTGGATTGAGAGAATTGTAACCATTTCCGGGATGGCACCATAGGTTCTCAGTATAGAAAGGCCATAGGGCAGATTGGCCAGTTTTACCCAAAGTAATCTTTGGAAAAGGTAGGCGAAGCGAGGCATGATGCGGGAAGCAAGCCCAAGGACTGTGGGGACCCAGCCACATGGAAGATAGGCCCAAAGAGGGGATAGGGGAAGATGGATGGGGGGCGCTGTAGCATCACTATGTCAATCATTAGGGTGGGTGGATTGCCAAGTGCGCAAATTTTGTTCATGTGATCTTGGAGGCATTGCAGCAGTTACAAGTTTGGATATAGGTCGTAAGTCTTTTCGTTCAGCATGATTGTAATTTTGAATGGTCACTGAATTAGTGATTATAAGTCAAAGACTACTTATAGATCAAAGCAATCTTCAGATTATGACCACTTGTTCAGCAACCATTCAAAATTATGAGGGGGACTTAAGACTAGTCTGCAATGTTGCAGCCGTTTCAGTGTCTCCACAGTCACATGATCATAATTTGGGCACTTGGCAACCAGTTTGTAATTACAATGCTGCAGTGTCCTGAAGTCATATGATTGCTATTTGCAACCTTTCCTGCTTGGTTTCCCACAACCAAAATCTTGCAAAAACCTGCATCATTTTTTCACCTGCTCTTTCACTCATGGCACTTGCTCATCTTCACATTCCATAGCACCTCTTTATGACACCCACCTGCAGTAATTATGCACCCATCTGTACACCTGCCTGCATTCTATAATGCCTGCCTATGGTACCCATCCACCCATCTGTGTTCCTTAGTGCCCCCCTGTGGCACTCAACTACCTGTCCATATTCCATACTGCCTGGTTGCAGCACCCACTAAGCTTCTCATTTTCTGTAACATCTCCCTGTGGCATTTGCCCTTCCATCACTCTCACATGCAGCTTTCACCCACTGGCCTGCTTATCTGAGACTCCCACCTCTCCCAATTAATAACCCATGCAGTCCTGAGATTATGCTAGCAACCGCCTCGATTGCTGTCACAAAGCAATACAGTCATGTGATATCACATTTTACAATCATATTGCTTATTAACCGAAATTATTATCAAGAACTATCTATAATGAATCCCAAAGATATCTAGGTCCTAATCCCTAAAGGGTTTTAAGGATGACGGCTAACATTTTGAATTACCCAAATATTTTGTATGTAATTTAATATTTTGTATTTTATTATTTAGGGAAGAGGTGATTCTGAAATAAAAGACAAAAGCACGGTTCAGGATCAAAAAATCAAAGAAGAATTGAAAGAGGAAGAAAGCAAGCAAAGAGAAAATGAAAAATATAAAGATTATGAAAACCATCCCAATAATTTTGATAAAACTGTTAATGAAAGTGAAAAATATGAAAAAGAGAGAATCAAGAATAGATTATCCAAATCAGAAAGAGAGCCAGAAAAAATTAGAAACAAAGAAAAAGAAGAAGGGGAAGGAGAAAAAGAAGAATGTGATAGAGAAAGAGACAAGGAAAGAAAAGAATATGAGGGAGGAAGAGAAAAAGACAGATTACGAGAAAAAGATAAACTTAGAGACAGGGATAAAGATTATGAGAAAGTCCGAGACAGGGGCAAAGAAAAAGACAAACGGAGGGAAAGAGGTAAAAATATAGAAACAACACGAGAAGAAAGAAAAGACAAACCAGACAAAAAGGTAATGTGTACAGTAATAGTTAATGATAATTGGAATTAACAGGCGTTTTAAGCATTTCCATATAAAAATGCATGTATCTAAGAGTCACTTTAGGTGAGATAGGCAATGGAGAAATTTAATAAATAATTACTCAAAAATTTAACATATCACCAAGTTATTTAAAGTATGAACTGCAGTCATAACTATGGATGCATTTCTAAATATTAATTTTAACATTGTAAATTCTATGGCAATTCGTTTGAAAGGCAAAACATGTGTAGACTAACTATAGTATCTTTTTAAGCATTTTTTCTTATAAAAAACATGATTCAATCATTCTCTTAGATTTCAATACATTCAGAACTTTCATTGTTTATCTCATGTAAATAGTAAATATCATAAAAGCCTCTTAAAATAACTACTATTTTACTTTTTAAACAGCAATATTATGACATCTAGTACATTAAATAAACAAAGAAAGCTCTGAATGTACTTAAATTTAAGAGAATGATGCAATCAAGTTAGTTGGTGGTTCTCATTGATTTCACTGGATATTTCTAAATTGCTCCAGATGAAAATAATGGTTAGATCTTATTTTAGTAATGTGAGTTAATTGACTATGGTCTTACATTACAGGTAGTGCTCGACTTACAACAATTCATTTAGTGACTATTCGAAGTTGCAACAGCATTGAAAAAAGAGACTTAACAACCATTTTTCACATTTATGAGTGGTGCAATATCCCCGTGGTCATGGGATTTACATTCAGATACTTGACAACTGACTCACATTTATAATGCAGTATCCCAAGGTCATGTGATCTCTTTTTGCGACCTTTTGACAAGCAGAGTGTAAGGACCCACCCCACTTTGCATCTTAAGAAGACAGAACTCTTGGAATAATTCTTCCAACAGGAATCCTTTATTAAGAGAAAATGGTTGTAGGCATGCTAGACAGGACTTGGGGTCCAAGCTCTCCCATTCAAGGTTTTAAGGGGTTCCCCAGTAGTCCCACCCAATCAACCCCCCTTCCAGTGATAGTTTCAAGTATCACAATTCCACTCCCTTTCTTCTTTCTTCCGTCTGGATGGAGACTTCAGATAACTACATGAAAGGCAACTTCCCTCCTTTGGTATGTTAACGCTTCGAGGTTACAATAAACACACATTCAGCATTCAGCTCTTTGAAGTGTAAAGAAGGAAGTGAGGGCCATAAAGCCCCTTTGTTCTCCCCCTTCTCTCCCTCTTATGGCAGAATCCAGAGAAGGCAGAATTGGGAGTTTCTATATTTGATAATTTAAAGATGAAATATAATTGGATTCTGACACAGAGTCAATGGGGAAGTCAAGATTCACTTAACAAATGTATTATTAATTTAAGAACTACAGTGATTTACTTAACAAATATAATGAGAAAAGTCATAAAATGGGGCAAAACTCACTTAACAAATTTCTCACTTAGCAACATAAATTTTGGGCTCAGTTGTTGTAAGTTGAGGACTACCTGTATTAATTTGTAATAAAATAATGTGTGACAACTTTGAAGACATGAGCTCAGATTACTATATAACCATGTCAGCTTTGATATGAAATATAGTCACTGACTATCAGTGAAATTTCTATGACCATCAAGAATTTGTTAAATTAATCCATGGACTAACTTATATAAATCTGAAATCCATTCTGTTCATTAATAATGGGGTTTGTTGATTCAGACTTTGAGAGCAGAATTGCATATATGTAGTATTGCTTATTGGTGAGGATTATTTGTCACAGAAAACTATAAAGAGATAATACAAGTAGTCCTCAACTTATGAGTATTAGTTCAATAACTGTTCAAAGTTATGATGGTGCTAAATGGTGGTTATGGCCATAGTTCATAGAGTTCTGGCCACCCAGGCACCCCCTTGGACATCTGATCACAATCTGGGAGCTTGGCAACTGGCTTGCACTTACAAACAACTTGCAGCACCCCAGGATCTTGTGATTGCCACATGCAACTTTTCCTGTCAGCTTCCCAGGAAAGTCAGTGGAAAAGCTGGCAGGAAAAGTTGCAAGTCACTGGGGCAACTCTCCCCCACCTGTGCACCTTCTCCTTCTGCACTTAAACTGCACTGGTTAGTTTGTGTACTCCCACATACCCTCCCTGAGCCTTGCCATGACTGCCTCATTCACCCCCTCACATCCCTATATGTCCTTCCCTAAGCCTTTTTGTGCCTCTTTGCACTTTGCACTTTATGACTGTATTGCTTAACAGAATGTCCAGTCTCAATTGCCATCATGAGTTGAGGACTACTTTTTCAGCCTGTTAATGATTCTAAATATTTTATTAAAAATATTCTCTCTTTAGCCCACAGGATCTGAAGAGAATGTTGCTAAAAAACTGGCAGAAAAGTCTATAAAAGATCAAGCTGAATTTGATAAAGAAGTAAGTAATAGAAAATATTAATTTTGCAGATTACTGGTATATTACATTTTACTCTCCACAGACAAGTGACAAAAAGCATGTGTGGCTTATAGTTTGAAACATGTAACTGTTAAAATACTAAAATGCAAAGATTGGTTATGAAGTTACTCTGTAATTACCAGTATAACTGCAAATACTTGCTAAACAATGCAGTTGCTGAATGAGAAATCTCTGTAACATAAAATTAGAGGGGGGTTTTTTGTATGTAAGAATCTGCTCTCCTTTTTCTATATATAGTTTTTATCTATTGAATACAAACCTGTAAATTGTGACTTTTGCAAAAGCAAGCAATTAAAGCAACATGCATGAAAGAGAATAAAAGACCTGAGAAGTGATGTTTAAAAGTTTGTGAACCCTGTTGAATTTGTAATATTTCTGCATGAATTTGATTTAAAATGCGGTCTGTTCTCCACACTTCATAAAACTGGAAAAAGAGAACTCTGTTAAACAAATGAGTCCAAAACATTATACTTGTTCATTTATCAATTAAGAAAAATACACCTCAGTTGATTAAGCAAAATATATCTTTCATTTTTCTTTTGCTGGAATGACCACATTGTTTTTCTACCATTGCTTGAATTATAGAAAATAGAGATACATCCAAATTGTACAGAGTACGTTACTAAAGACTCAGTTCTCCTTATAACTTGGTTGTTTAAAATCTGACTACCTATGATACCTTTATACATTCAGAAAATGGAAAAAAAGTAATATTCTAAAAATGCCTGCATGGTGTGTGTGTGCGTGTGTGTGTGTGTGCGCATACATACACTCATTCATGCACATACACATATGGACCTAGACAATAGACATGCACTACATGCTTTTATGTACATTTTTAAGAATGAAAATTCTGCAAGATTATCAAAGCAGCAGGCAACAAAAGGACCAAGACAGCGAAACAAAACTTCAAGTGAAGGTAATTAAAAGAATCCTCCTTGTTTTATTTTTTCTTGAGAATTTGGAGTATGATTCAAAACATAACAGTTCCAAATGACATAGAGGCGTTTTTCGCCTCAAGTTGCCTCTTCCTTTTGGAGCCAGTTATGTTTTTGATTCTTGAACCCTGACTATTTCTATTTAGAGACTGAACACTTAGAGCTTCTAAGAGACCAATTCATTTGTATTTTATAAGCATTTATTTGCTTTTTCCCCCTTTCTCTCTTTGTCCTGTCTCTCTCTTTTTTTCTGCAGATTCTTTGGGGCTTTTTCTGATTAATTGTTTACTCAACAAGATAACATCTTTGGTACTAGAAGGGAGTGGGATTTGCTCTCTGTTTATACACAACACAGGTAGTCTTCAACTTACAACAGGTTGCTTAATGACCATTCGAAGTTACAACAGACTTCCCCAAAGCTACTTGCAACTTTCAAAATTATGGTGGCTGCAGCATCCCCACAGTCATTCATTCTTATGATGGATTGCAGAGCTCATCCACCCATCCCACTGGGTCCCTATAGCCACTCATCTACCCAATGAAGTTCAGGCATGTATAGTGGTGGGAATCAGTGGGAGCTTGCAAGCCTCCAACTGCCTTCCCATCCAACAATGTTGTGGCATTGCATGGTTGCTAGCGTTGCCACAAGCTCACCCCCCTCTCACGCTACCGTGGCATTGCACGGGTGCTAGCAATGCCATGAGCATCGTGTGGACACTAGTGTCGCCATGAGTGCACCACCCCCCCACGTGCTAGCATCGTGGCATCATTCTGGTGCTATCGTCGCTGCAAGCGCAACATCTCCACTCATGCAAGCATTGCACAGGTGCTATTGTCTTCCGAGTATTGTAGTGTTCGCTCGTGGCCCCATTTGCATCACATGCATCACATGCACAATCACAGCCCCGTTCGTGCGCGCACATTCATGCTCACATGCATAAATGTGCCTCCACCTGCCCCAGGCTGCCAACCAAGAAAAGTTGGGGACCCCTGACCTAGATGACTGAGAATCTCCATAGACTTCAGGCTATTTCAAAGCACTAAGGGAAGGAGCTTGAGTTTAAAAATTAATTCAGTTATGGAAATTAGTACACATCCAGAAATCTTATGTTTGCCTCTGATGACCTCCCTAAGGTTCTCTATTATTTAATTGTTATTGCTTTCTTCCTTCAACCTACAAGGCCTTGAACCTCTGTTGTTACCACATTTTGTTATTGTCCAGTTACTAAGTCGTGTCCAACTTTTTTCAATCGTATGGATCATATCACGCTAGACTCCCTTGTCCTCCACTGTCTCTGGGAGTTTGTCCAAATTCATGTTATTGTGTTGATGACACTATCTAACCCAGGGCTTTTCAACCGGTGGTACCATATCACTTGTGGTACATTAATGAGTGGCAGGTGGTTTGCAGCCATATACAGCTCAGGCAAGGACTTAAAGAGAGTCCTCTGGAGCTGCAGAGTGGCTGGGGCAAGGCAAAGGCCCCAGGCTCACTTCTGGCTCACCCTCCCCCATGAGAAAGGAGGAGGAGGGGGTGGAGACAGGAGACGCTATAAAAGGAGGCAGTTTGGGTGGGAGAGGGAGAGAGAGAAAAAGAATCAGCCTTGGGAAGGAGGTGGAGTCAGCTCTAGCTGCACCGAAGGGGAAGGAGGAGGGTGAGGGAAGAGGAGAAGAGATCAAGCAGGCTGGCCATGAGCCAATCTATAACTTTTGTGGCAGCCACCTGTGCTGGCAGCAACAAATAGGCAAGAAATGCAGCAGGGGAGGGGTCACGCTCCAAGAGGAATGAAAAAAGCAGCAATGGCTGGAGGTGAGGCAGAGGGGAGGGAGATGGAGAGTGGAAAGATTCTTATCTGCTTTTGTGACTTTGAAGTTCTGGGATTTGTGCAATGAGGGCTTTGTATTCTTAAGGAGTATTTGGCAATTTCTATTTGGCTAATGGCTGGTGTCTCCTGTTAGTTTCTATTGCTCTGCTATTGTTAGCTATAAGTTTTGTTGCAAGGGATTTTGAAGTATTTTTCTCCTGAATGGATTTTGCCAGTAGCATTCCTTTACTTACGAATGGAGCCATTTGGGGAGGCTGCCTTAGCTGGCAGCCAATACTTACTACATTTTTTTTCTTAACTGCCAGCTGCATTCCTTAACTTTCTTTCTAGCCAGTAACTAATTCTTAAAGGGGAATATGTCTTTTTAAGCTAGTTCACTCAGCAGCTTGTCTTTTCTGTCTCTGGAGGCTTTTCCTTGTTTGGTGAATATATGGAAGAGAGAAAATATGGGGGGGGGGTTCAAATTCTTCCTTCAGAAGGAGGTGGGCATGAGAAAGAGGGAGGCAGGAAAGGAGAGAGGGAAGTCCCACCTTAGCACTTGCCCACCAGCACCCCTGCCATTGACTTTGCTTGTCAAAAGGTTGCAAAAGGAGATCACATGACCCTGGGACACTGACCATCATAAATATGAATCAGTTGCCAAGCATCCAAATATAAATCACATGACCCTGGGCAAGGTGCAATGGTCATAAGTGTGAAAAATGGTCATAAGTCATTTCAGTGCAATTGCAACTTTGAACAGTTTTTTTTTTTTTTTGGTCATCAAGTTTTTGACACCTTGCTATGTGGTACTCAAATATTGCTATATCCTAAAAGTGGTACAGTTGGTGAAAAGGTTGAAAAGCCTGATCTAACCATCTCATCCTCTACCGTCCACTTCTCCTTTTGCCTTCAGTCTTTCCCAACATCAGTGTCTTTTCCTACTTCTCATTAGGTGGACAAGTATTTGAACTTCAGCTTCTCCTTCCAAAGAACAATCAGGATTGATTTCCTTTACAATTGACTGACTTGCAGTCCAAGGGACTTTTAAGTGTCTTCTCCAGCACTACATTTCAAAAGCACCAGTTCTTCTTTGCTTAGTGTTCCTTATGGCCCAGCTCTCACAACCATATATTACTACTGGAAAAACCATAACTTTGACTGTACTGATCTTTATTGGCAAGATATCTCTGCTTTTTAATGTACTGTTTAAATTTGCCACATCTTTCCTCTCAAGGAGCAAGTGTCTTTTAATTTCATGGCTGCAGTTACCATCTGCAGTGATCTGGGACCCAAGAAAATAAAATCTGTCAATGCTTCATTTCTTTCCCTTCTATTTGCCAGGGAGTAAGGAGATTGGATGCCATGATCTTAGTTTTTTTAATGTAGAAGTTTCAAGCCAATCTTTGCACTCTCTTTCACCCTCATCAAGAGGCTCTTTAGTTCTGCCATTACATTTCTTATCACATATGGCTTTTATAAAATTTGTTACAATGTTTTTTTTCCTCAGCAACATTAAGTGAAATACCAGTCACACTATCCTCATTGTATGATATTGGAAAATGTGATTAAAATAGTGTAGGAAACTTGATAACATGTAGTACGAACAAGAAGAAAAACCATAACACTAAATATAAACAAATCAGTAAAATTTGCAAAAGATTGATGTGCCATAAAGTAGGTATCAACTTTAATGGCCACATACATAACCTCCATGATGATCTGTCCCTAATGTGGTCTTTCAGGTCTTGCAATAAAACACCTATCAACTGAGGCCATCAACCTTGCTGATGATTGTTCTCTTTTCTTTCCCAGAGGGTTTTCCAGAGAGCTAGGTTACAGGTCAGCAGCCCATGGCTCTGGATCCACATGTGGCTCTTTGAGCCTTCTGCTGTGGCTCTCAGCTTCCTCCGCCATTTGCAGAGAGAGACAGAGAGAGGCACTTGCGCTTCCCTTCCCCCCTCCCCCCCCTCTCTCTCTCTCTCTCGGACTTGCCCCCTCGCAGAGCTCCTGATTGGCCCTGTGCCCGGGTACACCACACCCTGGGAGAAGCATAGCCAGGAAGTCCCTTTCCCAGGCTGGTCCCATCCGAGGCGCACGTGGCCGGGGAGCCAGCGGGAAGCCCCGGGCTTCCCCCTGGGAGTGGCCCCCGGCAGGTGGGCCAGCCCTCCTGCAAGTCACGGCCCCGAGAGCAGCCCCTGCAATCCCCAGCTGGCACAACCGTTGGCCCCACTGGCTGGGAAGGTGCACTGGAGTTCCGGCTGCTGGGAAGGAAGAGGGAGGTGCAGCAATGGCAGGAGAGGAGAGCTGATTTAAAGCCAGCCCAGTCAGCTTGTCAGAGAAGAATGTGAGGTGAGCAGAAGATCAGGGGGAAGGAAAGAAAGGGGGAGGCATTTTCCAACCAGCAGCAGAGCCGAAGACGGAGGGTCAATGGCGGGGAGATGGAGGAGGCTCTGAGTCCATGGAGCACCATCGCGAAGCGGCCGCGGGGCAAGTGGCATGCCCCCCTGGCTTACCTGTACCAGAGCAGCCCCTTCTCATAGCAGCGGTCAAAGAAGTACGGCTCTGCCCCAACAGCTCGCATGCCCAGGTGGATGTGCAGGAACTCGAGCAGCGCGCGGCTCCCGCCCTTCACACCGATGATGATGGCCTGCAGAAACTTCTGGCCGGAGGTGCTGGACACTGGCAGAAGAGCCCCGGCCGGACCCGCAGGGGGCGCCTCCTCCAGGGACCGGCACCAGCGGCAGCTTCCTCACCCTCTTCCTCCTCCCATTCTTCCTGCTGCCCGCCGGGCAGCTTGGGAGGGCGCCAGGGCAAGAGGGGCACCCGGGGCTACATCCAATGAGTGGAGGGTGAGCCTGGGCAGCGTGGAGTCCCGCCTGGGGCAGCGGCCGGCAGGGGCATCGCTCCCTGGGCTGTCTCCGGGCCGCTTCCTGGGCAGCCGAGCCGGTCACGCGTCTTCCTGGGCAGATCCGTGGTGCCCTGGGCGCCTTTCAGTACGTTCTGTTGCTTCCTGCCCCCTCCCCGCCCCTTCGGCGCCGTCTGCCTTTCGTTCTCTCTCTCTCTTTAGCTGGCCAGCTTGTTCTCCAGCAAGCTGACATACTGCGGACATTCTTATTTGGCTCACTTTCCTCTGCAGAGACGCAGCAAGGGCAGGAGAAAAGCACCGATGAGAA